CCCAGCTGGTCTAACCCTAGAACAGTGGTTCCCAAACTTATTTGGCCTACCCCCCCCCCTTTCCAGAAAAAATATTACTCAGCCCCTGGAAATTAATTTTTTTTTAATTTTAATAGCAGTTACTCATCGCCCCCAAATGCACCTGTGGCCATCACCGCCCCCCTGGTTCGCTGCAGCGCCCACAGGGGGGCGGTAGCGCCCACTTTGGGAATCACTGCCCTAGAATCTCAACTAGTGTCCTTGTCCAGGTCCCCACTTGGTACTTGAATCCCCTGAAAAATGGTCATCTCTGCTGAAACCGATCCCACCCACCCAAGCCCTACTGACAGGCACTTTTTTTTTTAAGACAGTGAGAAGTTCAAAGTTTTCCCTATGTGAAATCAAATACAGTTTTACCTTCCCAATTCTGCAATTCCCCGACGCAAAATGCTCCGAAATCTAAATGTTTGTTTGTGATTACTTTGACAACAAACCCTATTCCTTTTTTATATATTTTTTTTTATTGATTCCAAAGAGGGAGTGTGAGAGAGAAATAGAAACATCAATGATGATAGTGAATCATTGATCAGCTGCTTCCTGCACGCCCCTATTGAGGATCGAGCCCACAACCTGGGCATGTGCCCTTGACCGGAATCAAATCTGGTATCTTTCAATCCACAGACCGATGCTCTATCCACTGAGCCAAACCAGCTAGGGCACAAATCTTATTCTTTACTGGTGTGGGGCTATCTGTTGTCTTGATTTACTTACTCATCATGTGATTCACTGCAGAAATATTGAAGCGTTTGACCATGGTACGGCCCCGGGCCTCAACGTGAATGTTAGTTAATAGACAGTGCATGTATTATATCACCTTTCCAAACTTTGAAAAGTTATGGAAATTTCCGAATAAGAAATTGTAAACGTGTATCTGCTTCTCTGATGTTTTCGTCTTCTATTTCCATTTCATTTTTTCCAGATGACCTATAGCTGAGTTCAAGTGTCCTACTATTTATTTGCTGGTCTGTTTTCCCCCTGAGTCTCCTGTAACTTTAGCTTTATGAATATTGTGCTTCTTATTTGGTACATAGCCTTTCTTTCTCATTGTGACTTGCATCTTTGAGCCTTATCAAGTGCTTTTCTTCATTTTCACTGTATATGATAGTAAGGTTATGACCTGTGCTTTCTATTGTTTGGATTTGTTTCATATACCTTTGTACATACTTCTATTTTCAGCCTTTCGGAAAATACTTTGTCTTAGATGGATCATTTGCTTTATACAGTATAAAGGTGGGTTTTGCCTGGGAAGAGCCTGAATATCTTTTTTATTTTAATAGATGAATTAACTCACATTCTCCTCTCTCTCTCTCTCTCTCTCTCTCTCTCTCTCTCTCTCTCTCCCTCTCTCTCTCTCATCTGCTGGCCCCAACAACAACAAAAAGAAGAATAAAAAAATAATAATAGATGAGCTAAATCGATTTCAACATTTATTGATATGCCACATGTTAGCCTTAGTTCTATCATATTAACATTATGTTACTTTCTGCTTTAATCACTTTTTAAAAGCTTAAACTGCCCTAACCAGTTTAGGTCAGTGAATAGAGCATCGGCCTGTGGACTGAAGGGTCCCAGGTTCGATTCCGGCCAAGGGCATGTACCTTGGTTGCAGGCACATCCCCAGTAGGGGGTGCGCAGGAGGCAGCTGATTGATGTTTCTCTCTCATCGATGTTTCTAACTCTCTATCCCTCACCTTTCCTCTTTGTAAAAAAAATCAATCAAATATATTTTTAAAATAAATAAATAATTAAAAGCTTAAACTATGTAGTCTGTTGTCTTGGTTGCTGTAATTCTCAAATTTCAAAAGATTTCAATTTTGCTCTTTTATAATGAAAGCTTTAACTAATACCTTGAGTTTTCTATTATTTAACAAATAGACATTAGTTCCTTACTGTGAACAACAAAAAAGGAAACACATTTCCTCTTCGTTCCTTCCTCTCCTCTTCTACCGTACTTTAGTCAATAATGTCTTTCTCATAGTTAATCTTTGTATTTTAAAAAGTGCTTATTATATTACTAGAGGCCCAGTGCACAAAATTCATGCATAGGGAGGGGGGGTGTCCCACAGCCTGGCCTGCACCCTCTCCCATCTGGGATCCCTTGGGGGATGTCCAACTGCCAGTTTAGGCCCTAAACCGGCAGTCGGACATCCCTCTCATAATCTGAGACCACAGGCTCCTAACCACTTTCCTGCCTGCCTGCCTGATCACCCCTAACTGCCTCTGCCTGCCAGCCTGATCTCGCCCCTAACTGCTTGCTCCCCCATGCCAGCCTGATCTCGCCCCTAACTGCTTGTTCCCCTGCTGACCTGATCACCCCTAACTGCCTCTGCCTTGGCCCCTGCCACCGTGGTTTTGTCCATAATGAAGTCAGACAGCCGGAGCAGTTAGGTGGCAATCAGGCCAGTTGATCCAGTCTAATTAGCATAGTACCCTTTCATTAGTATAGATTTGGCTGGTTGAGGAATGTTTTTGGAACACTGAACGCATACCAATTATTACAGATGGAGCAATAAGTAAATTTTACCTCTCACCTATTTTCCTCCTTCCTCTACCAATGTTTAAGTATATTGTTTACATATTGTCAGGTGACATCATTTCACATCCTTCTCAATCACTCTCATTTTAGCGTTAGTCCACAGTAAATGTATTCAAATTTTGCTGTTGATATTTTTTTCCATAGTTTTCCCAATTAATTCTTAGTTGGCTGACATTCACCCACTGGTAGTTTCCTCAAGAAAAGAACATTCTCTAAATTCTTTCATGTTCAAGACTATCTGTGGTCTTTATAATTGAAAGGTAATTTAGCTAGATATAAAATCCTTGGGTAACACTTTTTTTTCCTGTAATACCATTTAAGTATTGCACCAACAGCTTCTGGTATTGAATGCTGTAAAGACCTGGTTTTTGTCCCTTATAATTGACTTGATCATTTTACTTGATTGATCATCTTCAATGATAAACTCTTCTGGATTAATATTTTCTAATACATGGTATAAATTAAAGTCTTCTTTATTTCAGAAAATCATATTCGTATTTGACCTGTTTCATCATTTTGGTTTTCTTCTATGGAGGTTCCAATGATGTATCTATTGAATCTGCATACCTTGATTCTAAATCTTTTTCTCTCTAGTCTTTTTTTTAACTCTTTTTTGCCATTCCATTTTGCTTGCCTTCCTCATGTCTCTCTTCCATGTCCCTTGCTATGATGTTCTTAATTGTCTTTTATTTGTATTCCTTCCATTTCATCTTTAGCACTCTGATATGGTGTTTTTCCTGAGTTCTTCCAGCCATGCTACATCTCCTCCTGTCATCTCACCATCTCTTTCCTGTGTCCTTTTCATTTCAACTTTTTATTTTGAAAAATTGCAAACTGACCAACATATTGGAATAATAATGCAATGAGTATACATATATCTTGCACACAGTTTCAACAATTGTTATCATTTTGCCACATCTGCTTTTCCTCTCTCTACACACACACAATACAAAAACACGTTTTTCCAAACCATTTTCACATAAATTGCAGACATCATGACACTTCACCCATTAAGACATCAGCCTGCATTTCTAAAATGAGAACATTGTCCTAAATAACCACAATGCTAATCTAATAATTCCACAATATCATCTACAATATCAATATACAGTCCATATTCAAATTTTCCCAATTACTCCTCAACATGTTTTTAAATATCCTTTTAACCCAGTATCCATCCATACATTGCATTTGGTTATGTCTCTTTATTCTTGAAATGTAGAACAGCCAGTTTTGTTGCAATAATTATTTGTTTAAGAGAACATGTCAGTTATTATCTTGTTGTTCTTGTTATTCATCTTTACTCGAGGATATTTTTCCATTGATTTTTTTAAGGAGAGTGGAAGGGAGGGGGAGAGACAGAGAAAGAGAAACATCGATGTGAGAGACACTGGCTAGGGTGATATGCCAGTTATTTTGTAAAATGTCCCATATTCTAGATTCTGATTCGTTCTTTATATTTTGTTTGTTTTCCTAACACTTGTACTTCCAATAAATCGCCAGTTCAGTCTAAAGACTTGATGAGATTCAGAGTAAGCATTTTTTACTATATTTATATTGTGTATTTCATATTGCGTTCCATCAAGAGGCATGTGATTTTAGGTGGTCATGCTATTGAGAATGCCAACTTTAATCACTTGCTTAGGGGGGAAACTGCCAGGTTTTGCCAATGTAAAAGTACATGTCTTCCCTCTGTGATTATTAATTAATCTATAAGGTGACTAGTGATACTTTATCACCAGAGGAATACTCCGGTCCTCAATTACTTTTTACCCAACGGTTTTAGCATCTATTGATGGTCCTTACCTGAATCAACTATTTACCTTTAGGGGTTCAAAAATGGTAATTTTTTATTGTGTTTTTGCATTGCTATTTTGCCTTCTTCTTTCAAGAAAGTAATTACTGCATTCAGGTTGTTGGTTTTTTTAATTCAATGGCATGTTTGGACAGTTTTTATTTGCTCTGTGGCAATGTTTTCCCAGGGAATATTCTTCAATTGTTGGAAACTTTTGCTACTCTTTTCCTCTTTTACTTTATAGTGAATTTAATTTCATGCTGTGTATTACTCATTATCAAATGGGCTAGTTACTTGCATCAGCCAGATGCAGGTTACTTCCTAGACTACTGCTCATCCACCTGATTCTTCATGTAGCCCCAGGTGGAGAGGATCCTGCCACCCAATCCTTAATGCAGGATTCCCAAGGCCCCTCGGGCCTTGTTGGAGTGTACTCATTTTTAGGCGCTTCCTCATACCAACTCAAAATCCGTCCCCACCTCTATCCCACAGTGGCTACCCTGCCCTCGGGAGTCCCTCACAAAAAGCCTGATCTCCCGTTTCAGCAAATACGGAACCATGAGACCCCACCCAGGCCTGGTAAGTTCCAACCCAGCCAAGAGGCAAGTGTGTTTCTGAAGACTGGTCCCTTGTCCCCTCTGAAGGTCCTACCCTATGGCTGGGATGAGAGGAGGGAGGCTCAGAGGGCCACACTCTGTGAGCCTGCCCCAGGCATGCCTGTCTCCGCCTCTCTCTCCAAGGCTGCAGTTTTCCCAGAGCCGGGCTCCCTGCCAGAGACACACAGGCACAGAACAAAAGTAGAGCTGTCAAGAAGTTGGAAGGAAAAGCCGGTGCATCCCTGCTTCTTGCTCAGAAGTTTCCCAGCTATGGGGCTCCCCGGGCTGCTGGCCAGCGAGTCTGGACACAAACCTCCACAGCCAAGGTGCCCTCAGAGCTGCCCTTCCTGAGAGCCCCTCGGCCATCCCTGCAGGCTCTTCCCTATGGAGGTGAGCGTGTTCTTCCCCGGGGACCCTACCACCCAGGTTGGGGGATAGGACATGGGTTTCCCCAGCACAGGCGAGAAGGACATGGGCACCTCATCTCCTGGGAAAAGAGTCGTGGACACATCGTTTCCTAGAGGCCAGTGACACACCCGCCCCTAGACTGTCCCACAACCCCTTGGGATGTGCCACCGATGTCCGGAAAGAAAGGCACCGCTGGATTCGTTTCACCCCGAGTGAGGGTTTAGGAGCGGAGGTGACTCGCTGGGCCTGGGGAAGGCACCCTCCTAAGGCAACCAAGACCGAGCAGAGGATGAGAGGGCTGGACTTGGACTGGTGCAGGCCCTGGACTGGGACCCAGGAGCAGAATATCTGGGGCAAAAAAGAGAAATAAGTGCCCTGGTCCCAGAAGCAGCCAAGTGGTAAAGGAGTGTTAGTGGCACCCAGAAAGGTCAAGGAATTAGGGAGAGACAGGGCAGGCCGGGCAGATAAGGCTCCAGGCTCTCCCCTTTGGGGCCACAGCCAGTTGCATAATCCTTCTATTTGCATTCTGGCCTGGACAGCCTACCAGAGTAGACCATATCAGACCCACAACAGCTCCACTTGTCCTGACACTCGGCCCAGGAGGTGACCGAAGGTGTCCAGCCAGGACTGAGCAGCAGAGGGAGCCAGGGTGTGCAGGTCTCCCGGCCTTGCGCTGTCGCTGGAGGATGGAGGCCCTCAATGTGTCGGTCCCACTCAACTTCTCCCTGCCGCCCAACTTCGGCAAGCGCCCCACCGACCTGGCGCTGAGCGTCATCCTGGTGTTCATGCTGCTCATCATGATGCTGTCGTTGGGCTGCACCATGGAGTTCAGCAAGATCAAGGCTCACTTCTGGAAGCCTAAGGGGCTGGCCATCGCCGTGGTGGCGCAGTATGGCATCATGCCCCTCACTGCCTTTGCTCTGGGCAAGCTTTTCCGGTTGAACAATATTGAGGCACTAGCCATCCTGATCTGCGGCTGTTCCCCTGGCGGGAACCTGTCCAACGTCTTCAGTCTGGCCTTGAAGGGGGACATGAACCTCAGGTAGGACTGGGAGTGAGGAGGGAGCAGCCTGGGGACACGGGCCACATTGGAGGTGTCACAATCATGAGGGAAATCTGGGCTAAAGACAGGAGAGGGGATGAGTGGGGACTGGGTGGATGGTAGGGTTCGAAGTGGCAGCATTTATTGTCAAGACCTTATGCTGGGCTGGGAGCAGGAGCTGAGGTGTGTCTTGGTTTAAGCACCATGCCAAAGGGGCCATGCTGGTCCAGTGGCATCCTGGAGACCCCCTGCTCCCAGAGGCATCTCAGGTGGGGTGTAAGGATTGTTTTAAACCAAAGGGGCCTCTGGAGAACTTTACCTGCCTGCACTGGGGGACAAGTTGTCTGCTTTGAGGCCAGAGATCTGACAGGGGGTTCAGGTTGGTTCCAGACACCTCCATGGAGATCAAGATTTGGCTTGGAAACCAAATAGGCACCTCCAATTCCTACAGAGCAAGCAGGGATTTCCAAAGCTCCTCCCAACTATCCAGGCAGACGGGATGTCTTCCCATAACTTCCCCCATCCTCCCATCAGACACAGGAACATTTCCAAGTGAAGACACAACCAGGTAGACCCAAGAGTTTCCCAGCACCGGCCAGGTGATGCTGGGCCTCCCCTCAGCCCAACTGGTGTGGGGGTGAGGGAGGGGAGAGCGGGGAGTGGGACCAGCAGCATCCCCTTATGCTGGCTGAGGAAACATCTGCAGAAGCTCCTGCCTTTACCTAAGCCTCAGCCTCAAGCTGTGTCCTGTGGTTGGGTCCTCAGTTGAGATGCTTTTCTCTACTGAGCAGGGAGGGCAGTGGACTCAGACAGTCCAGCTGGGTGTCTGTCAGCACCCTGCCCTTGGCCGATGTTTACCAAGGAAAGCCCCCAAGGAAGGAAGTCCCTCCTGGTGATGCCACGTGAGGCCGGGGTGTATTTTTAAGTGAAAAAAAGAGAATGATACTTTGGGTTTACCAGGGCCCGCCATCTGAGGGGCTCTGGAGTCCCCACCCATAGGATTCCGCCCTCACCGAAGTAGACTATGGAAGAGAGGGGCAAGGAAGAGGCTTGGCCTGTCCAGTGTCCCACGGGAACATACCAACGTTGGCGCACCACACTGAGGAAATTCTTCCCTCTGTCTAATCCACATCCTTCCTGCTGCAAAGCAAGCCCTCAGTCTTTTATTTTTTTAAATAATTTTTTTTGTAATTTGTATTTCAGAGAGGAAGGAGAGGGAGAGATGGAAACATCAATGGTGAGAGAGAATCATTGATCGGCTGCCTTCTGCATGCCCCCTACTGGGGATCAAGCCCACAACCCAGGCACCTGCCCTGACCGGGAATCGAACCCTGACCTCCTAGCTCATAGGTCGATGCTCAACCACTGAGCCACACCAGCCGGGCAAGCCCTCAGTCTTAATCTGGCCCCTGGACAGAGCTCGCTGCAGCCTCTGTGTCCTAAGAAACCCAGACTACATCCTAATTCTGGCTGAGAAGGGATGCGGGAAGTCGGCTGTAGGGAAGGGGCCCTCTGAGGACGTTTGCATCTGTAGAACCACAGAGCAGGGCGGGCTGGTGTAAAGGACAATGGGTAATATGTCAGTGTCAGTGGCCAGATACCCCTGCCTCTTTAGCCCAAGGGCACTGGCCAGGTCTCTTCAATACAGCTGCATGTCTGAGGCCCTCAGCCCCCACCCACATCCAGTGACTCAGGGATGGGACCTCGATGCTGTCCTGCTCAGCCTCCCTGTCTGGGCATCTGGAGATGGTCACTTCTACCTGGGCCCCCCCAAGAGGTAATGCTCTGCCTGGACAGCCCCCTTCCAGCAGAGAGCCCCTTCCCATGGGCACCCCTCCCGTGCACACTAAGCCACGCCGCAGACCCCTGGCGGAGCATGAGCTCATCATCAACCATCACACGCTACCAGACTTCGTATTCCAATGTGAGTTCCTCCAGGACAACGTGCAGCATGTAGTGTAATTATGATAATGAGACCAACAGACACCTTCAGGGTCGGGCATGGGCAGTAAAGGAACACAATGCCGGGAGGTCCCCCTAAACAGTGCAGGCGCTCTGGGTGCTCTCTGGGCGCAGGAACCCACCCCCACCCCCACCCACACCCCCCGCAGCTTCCTGCTTTTCAAGAGAGGGTAGAAACTCCCTTTTTATGTGAAATCTCTACAACTCATTAAACATTTTTAAAAACACCGTGCCACTGCCTTAGCTGGTTTGGCTCCATGAACAGACTGAAAGGTCAAGGGTTCAATTCTGGTCAAGGTCACACACCTGAGTTGCAGGCTCAATCCCCGGCCCTGGTCGGGGCATGTGCAGGAAGCAACCAATAGATGCTTCTCTCCCTCTGCCTCTCCTCCCTTTCACTCTTTCTTTTTATTTTTTTAAATATATTTTATTGATTTTTTACAGAGAGGAAGGGAGAGGGATAGAGAGTTAGAAACATCGATGAGAGAGAAACATCAATCAGCTGCCTCCTGCACACCCCCCAATGGGGATGTGCCCGCAACCAAGGTACATGCCCTTGACCGGAATCGAACCTGGGACCCTTCAGTCCACAGGCTGACGCTCTATCCACTGAGCCAAACCAGTTAGGGCCCTTCCACTCTTTCTAGAAATCAATGGAAAAATATTCCTGGGTGCGGATTAACAAAAACAAAAACACTGTGCAGTCAGAGGCCAGGTGTCGCTCAAAGGCTGCCAGGGTGAACTTCCCTATAAGCACCGTGTCATGAGCAAGCTGAAGTTCAGAGACTTGCCTGAGGTTTCCCAGAATGTGTGGGAAAGTGGTGTCTCCTTCCTGTGACTCTGCCTCACAGATGGAGTGAGTCTGGGGCGACCACCATCCCATTGCAGGAAGGCAGGCACATTCAGGGAGGCTAGGCCACCAGGCAGCCACTTAGACAAGCTCCCCAAAAAGCAGGCAGCCCCCAGGCAAGAGAAAATGTCCTTGAAGTTGAAGCGAGCCCAGCTTGTCAGGGTCAGAGGGGGCCAGAGGGAACTGCCCGCTCTGAACACCTGTCACGCCCCTCAGGTTCATCTGCTCCCTCTGACCCTACTCACAGCAGAGACCAGAGCCACTGGCTGTGGGGGCAACAGACATGGACACAAGCCAAGGATTCCCACAGCTCTACCCATCGTGACATAGGGAACCCAACCAGGATGAGCCTGGCTCCCAGAGGTCTCCACTTCACCCAGAGTCTGGCAAGTCCCCTCCCAGTTCCCTCGGCTCTGACACGGCGTTGGAAAGCAGGTGGTGCTGTGCCCCGAGAAGTTAGGCAAAGGGATAAATAAAAAACCAAACATGCTCTTTCCCCTTGACCCCTGGCTCCCCGAGAGGCCACCGGGCCCGCAAGTCACTATGGAAGAGGTCCCAGTCTCAGAACTGGAGCCTGGTCAAGTCAAGCTCCCACCCCACCCCACCCCCCATTCCTGTCTTTAAAGGTAAACTGGGGAGCACGACAGTCACAGATTCCAGGAAATCGGGAGGTGGGCGTACCTGACCAGGGTCCAGCACTTACCCATGTGGAGGAGGTACCTGAGGGTGTACAGTCTGTTCCCACACTCCCGCATGCACAAAGCACAGCAAGTCCCAGAGCAAATTCCAGAGCTCCTGACGCGCCGGCCAAAGTAAGCATGACGCCTCTGCCCAAGGACATCCAAACAAGCCGGCCAGTGTGTGGCCTTTCTCCTAAGAGAGATCAATAGCTAGCACCGTGTGCCCGCCCCACAGGGAGCACCTCCCAGAACTCAGCACTATCGTAGTATCATTTATACTGTTACTACCCAGGTACTGGTCCATAAGCAAGATACACTGTCGTGTTTGCCTGTTTTCAATGTCCTACAAACGCTATCCTACTACCCAAGTCATTTGACAACCTGCTTTTTTGGAGATAAAGGCATAGAAATTAAGTAGCTCCTTTGTGCGCTTGAACTGCCGTGTAGTGTGCTTGTATTTCTCTGTTCTCCTGCTGTCGGACATTCATGTGGACTTCACGTGTTGTTGCTGTGACCGGCCTTGTGCATGTGCCCCAGTGCTCACGTGTGAGAGGGTGTATAACCAAAGCAGGCGGCGGGTCATGGGGTTCACACATCTTCTACAAACTCTCTCTAAAGTAGTTGCATTTTTTCTATGCTTTCCTCCGTATTTGGAATTGTCAGACTTTTCCATTTTTGCCATCTGGTGAGACTAAAAGGGGACACAGTGGTTTTAATTTTTTTTTTTAATTTCATGGGAGATATAGTACCTTTTCAAATATTTATTGGCCATTTGGGTGTCCTCTTCGGGAAATATATCCTTTGCCAATTTTTTTTTATGGGACTATTGTGTTTTTCCTCACTAATTTGTAGTTTATATTGTTTTTATATGTTGCCACAGTCTACTCACAGTTTGGAGCTTGTCTTTATACTTCGATAATAATGCCTTATAACACAGACTGCTTATTTTAATTCAATCAAATTTGCCAACGTTTTTTCTTGACAGTTTATGTTTTTGGGGTTTCTTTAGGAAGTCTTTTATTACCCTCAAGGTCATGAAGATATTCCCCTAAATTTTCTTTGAAAACTTTTAAAGTTTTACTTTTCACATGGAGATCTTCAGTTGACCTAAAACTTATTATGCACGCTGTGATCTTATTTTCTTTTCTATATTATAGAGAAAATTCCCAGTACCACTGAGTTAATTTTTCTCCAGAATTTGTAATGCCATCTCTCCCACAGATGAAACTCACAAATATGCATGGGTTTGTGTCTGGGATCTCTCTTCTCTTCTATTGGTCTCTGTGATTATCCTTGCACAATATCACATTTTCTTAATTATGACTTTATAATAAATCTTGATTTCTGAAAGGTAAGTTCCCCCTTCCTTGTTTTTGAAAATTACACCAGCTATTCATGACCCTTTACTGTTACACTTGAATTTGGGGATTAGCTCTCATCTACAAAAAATGTTGCTGGAATTTTGGTTAAATTTGCATTAAATTTATAAATAAATGTAGAGGCCATCTTTCTAATATTGAGTCTTCTCATCCATAGAAATAGTGTAGACTTAGGCCTTATTTTATACCTTTCTATGAAGTTTTATAATTCATCCCTTAAAGATCTTGCATCTTTTTTATTCATTTCTAAATATTTTATAGTTTTGTGATTATAAATGGCACCTTTTTAAAAAATCATATGATTCTTTTTCCTACTAGATCAAGACAATAGAATTTTTTATATTAGTAATGTATTCAGAATTACATGGATTCTCTTATTTACTAGTTATAATTGAAATTCACTTGGATTTCCTCTGTAGACAGTCCTATCATTGGCATATAATGAAAATTTAATTTCTTCCATCTCTATACCTTTCCTATTTCTTGTTTTGTTGTGCTAGCAAAGACCCATATATAGTATAATTTACAACAAAGTTGATAATACTGCTATTCATCTAATTTTTCACCATTAACTTTACTGTTTCCTGTAGATTTTTTATAGATAACCCTTTTCAGGTTCAGGAATTTCCATTCTGTTGCTTAGTGTGCTAATTTTTATCATGTATGAACACTGAATTTTGTTGAGTGACACTTTTCTGCCTATAAAATGATCATACCATTTTTTTAAATTTGATAATAGATTATCTAATGTTAAACCATTCTTTAAAAAAAAAGAATAGTTTATTGGGGTTTTTTAGAGACAGAGGAAGGAAGAAGGGAGGGACATCAATGTGAGAGCTTAACCTCGATTGGCTGCCTCCTGCATGCCCCCCCCACCCACCCACCCCCCCCCACACACACACTGGAGATCAAACACGCAACCCAGGTATGTGCCCTGACTGAGAATCAAACCCGCCACCCTTCCGGGTATGGGACGAGGCTCTAGCCAACTGAGCCACACCAGCCAGGACCAAGGTTTTAATTTTGATGAAGTCACATTTATGTTTTTTCTTTGGTTGTTTGTGTTTTCGGTGTCATATCTAAGAAACTATTGCCTAATCCAAGATCATCTCCCCCATGTTTTTGAATATGCATTATATTATTATTCTGTCCCAAATATTATCTTTTTCATTTTTTCATATTTGACCCATGAGATAATTAGATGTTTTGTTTTTCCAGTTTCAACTCTCCTCTTTTCAGAAGCCTAAGATATCAATTCTGATCCCTCTGTTGGGCGTTAAAACCTAAACTTCCAGATTATCACAACTAACAATTGACCCCGGCTTCATTTCAGTCAACATTGTTTCATTAAAACACTGATGAGATGCTGTGGGAACTTAACTCCTGTTTGTATCAGTCCATGGTAAAATTGCCTTAGCATGTACCTCACCTTGCTTAAAGCTGCAGGACCTATCAATAACTTTAAATGAAGGCACTTTACTTTGCATTCTTTGTGTCTGATCCCTGGAAACCTCCCTTACTTTCTTACATGCTCACACATGTTCTTATGTTCTTAAGGGAGGGTTTTCCCATTATTCAGCCCACAGGATTCTTTAGGGTCTCTGCTCACCTCTGACAGCTTCTTGTCCCTGTGATGCCTCCCCCTGCTGCTGTTCTTGATGGCTACACTCTGGACCATTTGGACTAGGCTGTACTTGATGTTCATTTAAGCCATAGTTCACCTGTATGGACACAATGAAGATGAGGATAGGGCTGTGGAGAGGAGGGATACACCCTTACTGTGATTTTCCTGAGGTCTTGTCAAGCCTTCTCCATCCACCCACCTCCCCAACCTTCCCACTAGAATGGAAGTCAAAGCCACATAGTATAAGGTCAGAATCCCCAAATCCAAGAATGCTTCCTACCAGCTTCATTCTCTCAGCTGGTCTTTCTGGAAGGCCTGTGCCTACACAGGGTCCTGGGACTAACATGTATTACATTCCACATGGAAATGGTAATAGGACAATTAGGATACAAATTAGAGCTGGGAGGATGTATTATTCAGGCTCTGAGACTCACACTCAAGTTATCTTAAATAATGTAAGGATAAAACAGAAAGCAAATAACCTGAGAATTATCAGTGTTGGGGACTAGAACTGCAATCAAGATGCAAAGCAGGTCTGATGGGCAGGTTATCTGGTCACTCACTCAGCAATGGGTAGCTATTGCTGCCTTCTCTATTGCTCCACATTAGGTCCTCCATTTATTCTGTTTCTACAGCTTTGCTGCTATTTCTTATTGTCCTTCTAATCATGGCCTCTGTTTACTTTTTCTTCACATGTTTTTGGCTTCTGCCTGACCATCCCTCCAATGACACCCCCTCTCCAAGACCCAGGGTTCTATCACTGCGTCTCATATTCAGAATCTCCAAGAGAGAAAATGTTATTGATATAATCCTTGTTATCCCAGTTGGACACAGCCATTGTGTCCAGGCATCCCTAGGCTCTGAGACAGACACGACTGTGGGTCGGGTGCTATTCTGTGATCCAATGGGCTAAAGTCAGAGTGATGAAGTCACGCGGTTAACTTTCTTCTGAATGGGCTGTGCCTAGGGCAAGTGCTCAGAGCAAAAGGAGTTCTGTTACAAAGGAGCTCAGAACGCTCCTTCCATAAGGAAGCACAGGAGTGAAGCAGCTGGACAGACCTGGGTACAAATCCTGTCTCAGCCTTTACTACCTGCACAATCCTGGACAAGTCACCACTCCTCTGGTCCCCAGCTTCCTCATCAGCGAAAGGGAGCTGGCAGGCTTACTCCTCAGGCTACCGGGAACAGGAAAGGAAGCAGTGTGTGTGAAGTGCTTAGCAGTGCCTGGTACGTCGCCAGCACTCACCAAAAGAGTCTATATTAATGGGCTTTCTCTCTGCACTCTTCCTGTCTCTCATCCAGCATCGTGATGACCACCTGTTCCACCTTCATTGCCCTGGGCATGATGCCCCTCCTCCTGTATGTTTACTCCAGGGGCATCTATGATGGGGACCTGAAGGACAAGGTGCCCTATGGAGGCATTGTGTTGTCACTGATCATGATTCTCATTCCTTGCACCATAGGCATCTTCCTCAATGCCAAAAGGCCACAATACGTACGCTATGTCACCAAGGTAAGAGCATGGGGGCAGGGCAGGGAGCAAGAATGCTGCTATCCTCTCAGGGGATGGCTTGAGGCAAGTCATTTGGGTTTTTTCTGTGTTGGTTTTGTTCCTTGTTTTTTTTTTTTTGTGGGTTTGGGGTGTTTTTTTTAAAGACCTACTATTAGGACACCTACGTCATGGGATTGCCATGTCCCCTGAGAATACTTTCAAAAAGTCAGGAGGAAAAAGAAAAACACCACACACACTATAAGGTATTTTATACTCATTACTAGAGGCCCAGCACATGAAATCGTGTGTGGGTAGGGTCCCTAGGCCTAGCCTGCGATCAGGGCCATCTTCCGCCCGCTCGCCAGTCCCCAGTCCCGCCCCGCTGCCACCCACCCAAGTTCCCCGTGGTTCCCCATTGGCCATCTAGCAATCAGAGCCTGCGGGTTGCGGGGAGGGACCGAGAGGTGGTCAATGCACCTCATAGTGACTGGTCGATCAGTCATTCTGGTCATTACACCGTTATGGTCGCTGGCCTTTTATTATATAGAATTTTAATAATAAAATTAAATTTTTATTATGCACCTACTAATTCTAATTTTTCTCCTACACTGTCGGAGGATTCACTGTTCTCAAAGAGTTTATTGCAGAAAGTAAAATAGCACATGAGAAACAAGACCCAACACTGCACAATCAAGCATTGGCAGAGCAAGGTGAGGTTAGTGAGGGCTGGGTAGTCACAGAAGGCCTCCTGGAGGGGACAGTCTTGAGCCAGACCATGAAGAAAGGATGAGACTTGGGTAAGCCTGGGACAAGCCTGAACACAGGAGTTCAGAGGGGACTGAGGGCAAACTTGGCTGACTGGTCAAGAAGCCAGAGGGGTAGAACCCAGGGGAAGAGGAGTGTTCACACTCCCAGCCATTTCAGGAGCAGGATGGGAGGAGAGGGTTTGGGGTAGCACTGTGGTCACAGACAGGGCATCATGCCACTGCCCTGTACTTGGAAGAATCAGACTCTTGGAGGGCTACCAGGGTCCCTCTGCCAACTTTCATGACCTCAGAGCTCAGTCTCTGTCAGTCTCCCCTCAGGCTCACTGCTCATCACTTGTCCTTGGGAAGGGCTCTGCCTCCAACATTCTGAGGGCCTGTTTCTGTCCTGCCCCTATTTCTTTGCCCTCAGGCCAGTCTACACAGCATGCACCTGGAAGCCAAGGCTTAGCAGCTGCTTGAGCCCTGAGATAAAAGATCTATAATTCAGCCCTAGCCGGTTGGGTTCAGTGGATAGAGCATCGGCCTGTGGACTGAAAGGTCCCAGGTTTGATCCCAGCCAAGGACACATGCCCGGGTTGTGGGTTCAATCCCCAGTAAGGGGTGTGCAGGAGGCAGCTGATCAATGAGTCTCTCTCATCATTGATGTTTCTCTCTCTCTCTTCCTTCCTTTCTGAAATTATATATATATTATATTTTAAAGGCTGCAATTCAGGTTTTCAGGGTTGATTCTCACACTATCATTGTCAAGAGTAGTTTTTGCCCTTGTCCTGACCCAGTCCTGATACTGTGCCACAGGTCCCTTCTTGCCTGTTGAAAGACACCCTACTTCACTCTTGATATCTTCCATTCTCTCCACCCTTGCTTCTCAGAGACCTCCTTTTATTGATCATGTCCTCCACTTCCCACTGCTCCCCCATCTTGCTCTCATTTCCAGACCATCTCTGAGTTAGTTCTTCACAATCAGCATTGACACAATGAACTGCCAAACCTTTCTACATGAATATGCTTTTAAAACTCAGTATGTCTTCAATTAAAAGCATCTCCACCCCAAGCCGGCTCCTCCCCTCCCTGTGATTATCCCAAAGAACAGCATTCCATTCAACATGCCCAACTGCCTGAGCCAGAAACTGGAAAGTTCTTCTCAGCGTCTCCTCTCCCCTCCCCCTCACTCAGGCTAATCAGTGATTCCACCTGCTTTTCTAATCCATTCATTCCTCCCATCCTAATCCACTGTCTTCATTCTGGCCTCTATCCTCTCTCACTAGACAACTGAAATAACCTTCAACCTGGCTCTCTGACCCATTCTTACACTGAGGGTGGAAAGTTCAAACGTCATCATGTCACCACTGCTTAAAGGCCCTCATTGGTTCCTTACTCTCCCCCAGAATAAAGTTTAAACTCCTTACTGTGGCTCCTCAGGCCTTTCTGGATTTGGTCTCAACTGACCTCCCCAGTCTCAGCTTTTTTCTTTGCACATGTCCTTCCCTCCACCTGGACACTCCTCCCCTCTCCAAGTCCCCCTCACTCATCACCTTTCACTGGGCTCACACCCACTCACCCTTCATGTCTCAACACAAATGGCATCTCCCCAAGAAGTCTTCCTTAGCTCACAAGCCTGAGTAGAATTCTGGTCCTATTTACTTCCATAGCACCCAACACTGGGCCCTTGCAGCATTTATCATACTGTGTTATAAGCACCTGTGTGTTTATTCCCCTCACCTTGAGCTCCTCAAGGAGAAAGACCCTAGCGGTTAGTAGCCAGTGGTTCTCAACCTTGGCTGCACATTAGAATCACTTGGGGTAGCCTAAGACCATCGGAAAACACATATATAATTACATATTGTTTTTGTGATTAATCACTATGCTTTAATTATGTTCAATTTGTAACAATAAAAATACATCCTTCATATCAGATATTTACATTACGATTCCTAACAGTAGCAAAATTACAGTTATGAAGTAGCAACGAAAATAATTTTATGGTTGGGGGTCACCACAACATGAGGAACTGTATTAAAGGGTCACGGCATTAGGAAGGTTGAGAACCACTGTCCGAGAGATTTCCAAACGAAAGTTAACTCCTAAAAACTGGCTCTGGCAGAAGGTATTGCTCAAACTCTGTTCAACCAGTTGCATTTCCTAGTGGGAGGTCATTGATATGCCAATATACAAGTTCAGGGACACCCTGTTTAGAAAGGCAATTCAAGTAGCACTTTGCCTTATCCATGCAAGGGTTTATTCAAGGCTGCGTGGTTAGAAGGTTGCACAACATGACCAGGAGCCAGTTTTGCCATAAGCCTTCCACCACTCTTTTAAAAAGGGTCCAGCCATTACTTTGACTCAGCCACTCTACCTCTGCTTTTGCCATACCTGCTGCTACTGATGAACTAACCTGACCCCTTTGGTCACATAGCTTCTGCCAACTTGTGGCTTCTGGCTGCTACTGATGAACTAACCTGACCCCTTTGGTCACATAGCTTCTGCCAACTTGTGGCTTCCGGCTGCTACTGATGAACTAACCTGACCCCTTTGGTCACATAGCTTCTGCCAACTTGTGGCTTCTGCTGACCCCAGGCCTGTGTCTTTAATACTTGCATCTGCTCCTGCTTCCCTGTAATTCTGAAATCTCCCAAAAGGAGAGGATGCGACTAGTTGGGTCATTCACCAGCATGTGTAGGCCACCTCTGTGGGAATAGGTTGGGCCAGGTCATCTCCTGGGTCAAGCTGATGACATTGGCTGCCCATGAATGGACACTCATCAGTCTCAATCACTCATGAGAGGGCAGTGCAGACAGGTGGTACAAAAACCAGGTGAAGCAGGTAGTTGTGGCCATGAGATTTCCACAGATGGCAGGGCTGTGACAGGAAACTTTGGGATGTGAATCTCTTCTCCTTTACCTATCTCTATATATAAAAGGCTAATATGCAAAGTGTCCCCTCAGGAGTTCCACTGGGAGACTGGGAGACCGGGAGTTCGATCATTCACTATGACGTGCACTGACCAGGGGGCAGCACGGAACGAAGGAAGGCCCCGGCCGGCAGCAGGCAGCTGGATCGCTGGCCAGGCCTAGGGACTCTACCCGTGCATGAATTTCGTGCACTGGGCCTCTAGTGAGCAATAGTAGGAGCTACAGTTTAGTGAATGGTTTTGATATGGCAGGTCAGAGAGGTTGAGTGACTCATTGAAGTTTACACATCGTGAAACCAGCTGAAGCAGCTTCCACACCAGGATCACAGCAACGTCTATACTCGTAACCACTCTGCAGCCTCCAAGAGTGGGAGACGGAGCGAGTGAGAGCACGAGAGTAAATGCCCACAGAGAAAAAGGTCTGCCGGATTCATGGGGCAATTCCTGTAGCCCAATGCCCTGCCCCTCCCATTATCCACTACACTCTTTTGATGGGGTCAAAAACTATTTGGTCATTCGGTAGAAAGCAACAAAGGACAGGAATCCAAAAAGAGAAAAAATTCAAACTGCAAGAGCAAACTGAACAGCTCATCAGTGAAGTCATGTAATAAAATCTGAAGCATGTGGTTATTGATGAAATCTGTGAAATTCCTTCCTATCCTGGGATAGGAACTGGTTAGTACAGGTGATATTTTATATGACCACATCAGTTGGAATATGGATTTAAAAAACATAGAAATGCAAAACTGCAGCTGAAATTTGAGGAAAATAAATTTTAAAATGCTACCAAGACAAACTTGTGGATCTAAGTAGTGCCACTGAATTGTACACTAAAAAAATAGTTAAAATGGCAACTTCTGTGTTATAATTTACGACTATTTTTTAAAATGGTACTAGGGATATCAAATATTACACATGTGAATGAACTGAAAACTGAACCAACACATATAATCATTACATTTGCTATGTGTATATACTTATATATCTTTACTAAACAATGAGCAAGACCAAGAGCATTAAATCTGTGCATATATTTTATCATTTGGAGTATGTCTTTCTCCATAATGCAAACAAGAAAATGCACTTTGAAAGTTTGCATCCTATGTCACCTGCTGAAAAATCTTAACATTGTAAATTCATTATAAATCTATTGAAAATTGAAAAATGTATTAAGATGCAACTATAAAAAATTTGTAATAAAACTCAACATTGCTTTCATATTAAATATTAACGTACTTAATAGTAATTATTAAGGGCAATAAATGTTGCTTTCACAGCACTTGCCTGGGATAAGGTGGACACCTGCATTGTTTCTATGATGCCATTATTACCCAAGATATTTCTGAAACTTTCTTTTGTAACCAATTTGCAGGTCACTCAAGAAAGGCACGTCTCTTTACATTTGGGATCTAAACCCACATTACCTGGCTTGATCATCCAATTTGCTTACCAGGTTCACTTCAAATGATTCTTGGCAACTTCCAAGAGTCAAATTCATCCTAGAACGTATGAGGTCCTTACCCATAAAGGAGGTATTTGAGACAAGTAGGACAGGTTCTAAGAATAACATCGATTAAGTTCCAAACTATTTGGAGCAATGGAAGTATTGTTGGATTGTGTACACAAGCAGTTAATGACTTTGCAAAAGAATTTTTAATTTACAAGAACCACTTTGCAGGAGGACTGAACAGTCTCATTCCTTCAGAGCCACTTACTGAAAATCTGCTATCCAGAGATGTCAACAGATGCTGCACTTGGCTTAGTCTTTAGTAACAAGTGTTAATTGGGTCTCTATCCTCCAGAAGCTTCCTAGCTACTGAAAAGAATCCCAAAAACACGGAAAATAAAGGTCTTTGTATTCCCTCCCACTTCAAATACCAATTTTTAAAAATTAAAATGTCTTTCACCTCCAGTGCCCACCTGGGCTTCACCATGCCTCTCTGCTTCTCCCTATCCCCACCCCCCCTCTAATGGCCTTTTCTCGTCCTCATTCACAGGGAGGAATGGTCATCATGCTTTTGCTCAGTGTGGCCATCACAGTGCTCTCTGTCATCAACGTGGGCAAGAGCATCATGTTTGTCATGACACCCCACCTGTGGGCCACCTCCTCCTTGATGCCCTTCATCGGCTTCCTGCTAGGCTACATTCTCTCTGCTGTCTTCCGCCTCAATGAACAGTAGGTATTACTTTAGTCTCACTGTTCTGTGGGCCTCATTCTTGTCCTGGGCTCTCAGGAAAAGGATGAGGAGATCTGAGACCTGCGGAAGGCATTTCGCCAGCAATATGTTCAAATGCATCAACTGAACAAGGGACTTTAGACTGAAATATTGGGAAGGTATTGAATGGGTTAGAAACATTAATCCAAAGACCAACGGCATCTCTCTAATCATCCAAAAGAGCAGCAACTCATGGCTCCCTCCAGAGGCTAGATTCCATCTCCTGCCCAACTCCCTGGTAGCTAATGACACTGGGGTATCTCTGTGTCATTATGACAAATGTTGATCATATTCTTCCTCTTCCACATTTCCTCCTTTTTTCCTTTGACAAGAACACCATCAAGTGACAGCTCTGCTGACGTAGCTGGGACCTCGGCTAGAGTCTAATCCAATTCACAAACAGCTGCTACTTTAAGGGAATAGATAACTTTGAAAGCCTGGAATGGGAACATCAGGCACCCTGTCTATACAAAGCAGTGCATGTCCAGAACTTTTGCTCTTTTCAAGCATAGTAGACAAATGTTTATGCAGGAATTTACATTAGTAGCACCCTAGCACTCCCGTCCCCCACCTCAAAAAACTTGTGTTTTAAATATATAATTTTAAAATAATTATTCATACAAAAAACAAGTTGGTAGTTCCCAGTAGGAGGCGGGATTGGGTAGCTGGGTAAAAAGGGTAAAAGGATTAAGAAGTACAAATTGGTAGTTACAAAATAGTCACAGGGATGTAAAGTATAGCATAACGAATACAGTCAACAATATTGCAGTAACTATATATGGGGCCAGGTGAGTACTAAAATTATCAGGGGATCACTTTGTAAATTATATAATTGTCTAACCACTATGCTGTACACCTGAAACTAATCCTCCTATATAATAAAAGGGTAATATGCAAATTGACCCTAACAGCTGAGAACAACCAGTCGCTATGATGTGCACTGACCACCAGGGGGCACACGTTAAATACAGGAGCTGCCCCCTGGTGGTCAGTGCGGTGCCACAGGGGGAGTGCTGCTCAGCCAGAAGCCAGCTCATGGCTGGCCAGCGCAGCAGCAGTGGAGGGAGCCTTTCTGGCAGTGCTTAGGGGAGCAGGCCTAAGCCGTCAATTGGACATCCCCCAAGGGGTCCTGGACTGCATGAGGGCACAGTCTGGGCTGAGGGACCCCCTGAGTGCACAAATTTTCGTGCACCAGGCCTCTAGAATAAAATAATGAATATCAATTATAATTAAAAATAATAAATTTTACATAATTTTTAAAAATAATCATCCATTTTAAAAAAACATGCTAATAAAGACCAAATTAGTACAGGATATAACACATGGTGATACAGTAGAGTCAAAAGACTGCCAATGACTACTTGACGTCAACTTTCACAACAGAGTGGTATGGATCATATATGGCCCCAACATCACAGCATCAAGTACTGCCAGAGCAGTCTTCCTCATATGCTGAGACAGCTCTCAGGGGTTTTAGTGAATAACAATTATTTTAATACATTAATTACAATTCAATGAATTAAACGTACATTAAATGTAAACATTCCATTCTTTAATTCATAAAATGGGAAGCAAAGCTGAGATTGTATTCCAATGATAGATAAATGTGGCTGAATCAAGTATATTTTTTTAATCATCACGTTTTAGAGTTAAAGGTAGCAAAGCCAGAAACTTGGGAACAGGACAAGATCTTCAGGTATTTCAATCCTCTACTATATGTTAAAAATTTTAATTGTCCTCTAAGTCCAATATAACAAGCCAATGATTGATACTGGCTCACACCTTCCTTTCCTCCCTCACCAGCTGGACATTTCTCCAAATTTTAATTTAGTAACCCTACAAAAGTGGACAAATCGTCCATTTCCAAGACAATAAAAAGTGATCTCATAAACACTCGCTTCATGAACCCACTTCCACAAGGCTGGATTGGTGATTTTAACATGTGTCGACTCCCCTTTTCCTGAAACCATGTACACTCCACTCCCTGGCACACTTCCTGTCTCAGACTGTTAAAGTATCTCGGGGGAGAAGATAGGGAAGTGAGGCTGTACACTCATGCCTCTTCCGTGAGGGCATACGGGGTGGTTGTTTTGTAACCTACACAGATGCAGGCGCACTGTCAGCATGGAGACTGGATGCCAAAATATTCAACTCTGCTCCACCATCCTCAATGTGACCTTCCCCCCTGAAGTCATCGGACCACTTTTCTTCTTTCCTCTCCTCTACATGATTTGCCAGCTTGGAGAGGGGCTTCTCCTCATTGTCATCTTTCGGTGCTACGAGAAAATCAAGCCTTCCAACGGTGAGTACTGAATTATTCCCCTTGGAGATCTCACATATTGGAGAAAAACAAGCTTCCGGCAAGGACCTGTTAGATGGGGCTTTAACTATCAAGTCACTAGAAACCAGGTAGCAACAAGAAGTACGAAGGGGCCTTAGCCTGTTTGGCTTGGTGGATAGAGCGTCGGCCTGCGGACTGAAGGGTCCTGGGTTCGATTTCGGTCAAGGGCACATGCCTGGGTTGCAAGCTCGATCCCCAGTGGGGGGCATGCAGGAGGCAGCCAATCAATGATTCTCTCTAATCACTGATGTTTCTATCTCTCTCTCCCTCTTCCTTCCTCTCTGAAATCAATGAAATCAATAAAAATGTATATATATAAAAAAAAGTACGAAGGGCCTCAAAGAGCCAAGGATACTTCACTCACTGCAGTTTTGGGTGGAGTTTGCCTCATGGGTAATTTGGGCTGCTTTCACTGAGGAAATCATGTATAGGGCTCAGGATGAGAACACAGGACAGAACCATTTTGGCCAACAGATAGTTGTGAGACGTCAGTTCTGTGAAAGGCCCTATTCACAAGAGTTCAGGAAATTTGGACTGTAGGTTCTCATGTCTTAGAACCAGGTCAGAGTCCCAGCACCACTGGCACCCCTACAGGAGGGAAAGCATTCAAGTAATGCAGCCTCATAACCCTGAATCCAAAACAGAGGATCCCAATTCTGGTTACACAGTAAAGAAAATTTAAGTAAGCTTACTGAACAATCGCTTTCACAATCTGGTCTGGTTTGCTTTATACCTTAATCTGATTACTACTGGATTAATAACTTCCTAGCCAATTAGCACCTATTTCCTAAGAGGCTCAGATCATTTCATTCTCTTCCAAACATAATCAAAACTCAAGAAAGCTCAGAGTCCCTTCCTCAAAGTAGACTTTAACCCTACATCTTTTTTTCCAAACCAGGAAACAACCTTACTTGATAACATTTCAGTATTTTATATTCTAAACATCAGTATATTCATAATCACTCAAACCCTCAACTCTTATTCCCACGAATTTAATTGAGGGCCCCTTCAAAACCTTTTCTAGGCCTAGGGGACTGGTTTACACCCTAAAAGAAAGATGCAGCTTCCCTGGTGAAATTATCTTACAGTAGGCAAATGCAGATTTACAATGAACTAAGATGCAATCTTGGTATCAAGCAGTCAGAAAGAAATAGAGGATTATACTTCAGAACCATTTTATAAGTTTTGGTTCGAACTATAGTAGAGCTGTAGAAAATCTAGTTTGATGCTTATCCAAGAGCAACTCAGAAATCTGTTGCCCCTGAAGTCTCCACCCTCTTACCAAAAAAATGCAAGAGGGAAGAAAAGTTTCTACAACAACCCATTAGGTTCCCAGTCTTAGTTCCAGAAAGGTCTGGAGTGCCCTTATGGGGCCATGCTCTAAGTATGGGTATTTGGCTCTCAAGACCTAAAATGAACTTCACTCACAATGCACTTCAGAAGACCCCTAGGACAAAACTAAGTGAAAGCACCTTACTTTTGGACCTAACGAACCATAAGGACCCAAGCAGCAGTACTCAGGATGAAGAATCTGCCAAGTTTTAACGGTTTTGATATCTGTACCCTTCTACAGAGATGGGAGAACCAGAAAGGTAGACCCTATCTTCACAGCTCCTCACGACAGCCATGCAGCCTGGAAATGTAGACTAAACCAAATGGGGGAAGGGAGAGGCATGGGAACCCACCTTAGAAGACTTCCCTAAAGTTCTTTTCTCCCTGACCGCTGCTTGCTCCCCAAATGCAGTCAACAACTTCGCTTAAATTCAACTCCCCTATTGAATTGCATGTACAACAAAGTTGGACATGGAGCCTCAGAGAGTCAGTATTCTGCTAATTAGACCTTTTGTGACTAGTATTACCGTTAGGTATGTTGAGGAAAAGCAAATCCTTTCTCAGAATTAAAACATGGGAGGAGAGATGGTCAAGAGATGAAAAAAACAGAGCCCACCCTAGGGGTAAGATGGTTTTGTCTTCCAGATTGAACAAGCTTTATATTTACTATTCTCTCATTCTCCTACCCCACCCATAACTCTTTTCAACTTGACAGATAAAACAAAAATGATCTACAAAGCTGCCACAACTGAAGAAACCTTTCCAGCGGCTCTGGGAAATGGCACCCATAAAGAGGAGTGTCCCCCGCCTTACACAGCCTAGCCTTCCCCCAGTGACCTGGATTCAGGTCAGAAGACAACTCAGAAGGAAATGTGGTAAACTACAGAGAAAGAAAGATGAAAGGAACGCACCAGCAGTGACTGAGTCTGTCTCCAACATTTCCAGCAGAAACTAGCAGCAGCATCAAGAGTCTTGGCTGCAGGACAGATGGGGTGGGGAGGCAGGGGGCGGGGGGGTGTCTAATTCTAAAAGCCTCGCCTATCTCCAGCTTAGAATTTCATACTTGTTTTTTTTAAAAAGTTAAGACTTGCTCAATGACAATCCTTTGAAAGGAACCCAAACTGCCTTTTACCTCTGCATCCCTAAAACAGTGCCTGCTAGGCATATAAAAGTCACTCTTTCTCATTCTGGCCAGGTGGCTCAGATGGTTGGAGCTTAATCCTGTACACCAAAAGGTTACCGGTTGGGGTGCCTCTGGGAGACAGCCAATTGATGTATCTCTCTCTCCCCCTCTCTAAAATATCAATAAACATATCCTTGGGTGGGGATATTTTTAAAAAGCACTTGATTTGTGAACTACTCAAAAAATTTTTCTCAAAATCAAATACCCAAATCCAGTTCCAAGGGGATTTTGTTTTTAATATTTTTATTGATTTCAGAGAAGGGAGACAGAAACATCAATAAGAATCATCTATCAGCTGCCTCCTACACGCCCCCTACTGGGGATCAAGCCCACACCGAGGCTTTTACCCTAACTGGGAATCGAAACCTGACCTCCTGGTTCATAGGTCAATGCTCAACCACTGAACCACACTGGCTGGGGCCATTCCAAGTTTTATTACTAAAAAATAATGCTCAAAGAGCTGCAGGATTAGTAGACTTCCAAAAATCCTTTCTAATAACATTAAAAATCCAGATCCTGTTCCTCCCGTCATTACTGGGATTAAAGTTCTTGAGAACACAACTAAGACACCAAGTATGCAAAAGCAACTAGACAAGACAAACTCAAAAACTCAGCCATAATGAAAGAATATAATCCCAGTAGAGGGGAAAACTGTAATCCCAGCAAGGGGGGAGGGGGGAATTTTAACAAGAAAAAGCCAGGCAACAATACAAAAATCAATAGAATTGTTTCACTAATCTAATAATTCTATATTTCATCAGTTCATTAGTGGTTTTCACATTAAGGTCCCTCAAAATTCAGAGTTAAGATGCTGCCAAAATGAGTGGTTTCTCAAGTCAAAGAAAATACTCAAATTGATATCCTTGAAAGTTTCTCCAATAAAATTTAAACATTTTGCATATTGTTCATTAAGCAGTGGGTCAAATATTAAATAACAACTAATATTAATAACACTTGCAAACAGCCTACCATGCCTAGCTACTTGTGATTTTCACATCATTTAACGATTAGATACAACTGAAACTGACATTAATTTCATGACATCAGTCTGGCAAATGTCCAGGACTATCAATATTCCTGGTACCAGAGCAAACTTAAGAATCACTGATTTGGGTCACTAATACCCTATTAAAAATGAAGATATGTGAAAAGGTCTCCCATTTATCGTTTTTACACATTATATCCATATTGACCTGTCTATGCCAATTGTTTTCTCTAACATCTAGCAGACATCATCTGCTAGGAAACTTGGTTAAGTACAATAAAGCAATATAAGAACAAGTTTAGCTTTTTGAGGAAGTGAAGGCTGGAGTTAAGATTTATTGCCCTCCATGTAAAAAGGTGAAGGGGAATATAGTTAATATTGTGGTAAGTCTGCATAATGACAGATGATTACTGTGTATTATACACCTGAAACTAATGTTATATTATACTAGAGGCCCGGTGCATGAAAATTCATGCACTGGAAGGGGGATTCCCTCAGCCCTGCCTGACCCCTCACAGTCCGGGAGCCCTCAGGGGCGGGAGGCGACCCAGTGATCAGGGGAAGGCAACGCTCCCATCACACCTCTGCTGCTGCCACTGCTGGCAGCACAAGCCTCCGGCGGCCCTGGGCAGCTGGGCAGTCGCCATCTGAGGCTTGCCTGCGCCTCGGGCCGGCCCTGGGCAGCTGGAGGGCTGATGGGACTGGGGGACTCCAGAGGCAGGTGCGTGGGCCCGGCCTTGCTGTGCCCCTGCCACCCCAGCGGGGCTGATGGGACTGGGCGCCGCCATCTTTGAGGGTGTGGCAGTCAATTAGCAAATTCCCTTATTGGCTGTGGATGCCACCATATTGAAGGGTGGAATAGTCAATTAGCATATTCCCTCTTTATTGGCTGTGAGCACTGCCATCTTTGCAATGGCATGAGGGTCAATTAGCATATTCTCTATTAGATAGGACTAGAGACCCAGTGCACTAAAATTCATGCACTAGGGGGGAGGGAGTCCCTCAGCCAGGCCTGCACCCTCTCACAGTCCAGAACCCCTCAGGGGATGTCCACCTGCTGGCTTAGGCAGGGAGCGGGCCTAAGCCACAGTCGAACATCCTTAGCACTGTCGAGGAGTCAGGAGAGGCTCCCACCACCACCACTGCACTGGCAGCCGTTAGCCCAGTTTGTGGCTGAGCAGAGCTCCCCCTGTGGGAGAGCACTGACCACCAGGGGGCAGCTCCTGCATTGAGCGTCTGCTCCTGGTGGTCAGTGCGCATCCTAACAGTCGTTCCTGGTCATTCCACAGCTGCGATAAATTTGCAAATTACCCTTTTATTATATAGGATTCCTACTTAAAAAAAAAAATGTTACAGCCTGACCGGTTTGGCTCAGTGGATAGAGCGTCGGCCTGCAGACTCAAGGGTCCCAGGTTCGATTCCAGTCAAGGGCATGTACCTTGGTTGCGGGCACATCCCCAGTGGGGGGTATGCAGGAGGCAGCTGATCGAGGTTTCTAACTATCCCTCACCTTTCCTCTCTGTAAAAAAATCAATAAAATATATTTTTTAAAAAAAAGTTTCAGGCAAAATAGATGCTACTCTCAAACTTTCCTTACAGCTTGCTAGATGAAAGTTGCACAAAAGCTGCACTATACCCTGCAAAGGCTGGTCTTAAAACTGCTTGCGCTCAAGGCCACTCCACTCATGACTTCTCAGAACCTGGATCTGAAAATTTAGGCTAACTTGTTGGTTCAAACTAAGTCCATCTCCTCTACCTTTACTTAAAGGGTCTTATTTTATTGCCTCACTGTATAGCAAACTATTTGTAATATTAAAACAGAAGGCACTTATTTTACAGGGGTGGAAAAATCAGAAAGTCAACTGGTAAAATGTCCAAGTACCTAACACCATACATATCACTGAGGTACATTTTAAAAACCTAAAGGGTTAAAAACTAGGTCCTACCACTTCATTTTTCTTAATCCTCACCCAAAAAAATTATTGAGAGGAAAACATCAATAGGTTGCTTCCTGAACACCCCCTGACCAGGGATCAAACCCACAACCTAGGTATTTACCCTGACAGGGAATCAAATCTGTAACTTTTTGGTGAGCCGGACACTTCAACCAACCAATGGAGCCACCCAGCCAGGGCAGGTTCTGGCTATTTTATTTTTAATACATTTTTATTTACTTCAGAGAGGGAGAAAGAAACATCAATGATGAGAATCACTGATCAGCTACCTCCTGCACACCCCCCACTGGGGATTGAGCCTGAAACCAGCACATGTGCCCTGACCAGATATCAAACTGTGACCTCCTGGTTCATAGGTCAACACACAACCACTGAGGCACGCCAGCTGGGTGGTTCTGCCCTTTTAAACAAAGCCAGTGCCCTCCATCCAAAGTTAACACATTGTGGACCAGTTTTGCTAACTTTACCCAGTGGCCAGATAAGTTTCTATTGAACTAGTACAAAAAAATGTTAAAGGCATGCTTTAAAATTAAATACCCATTGTTTTTTGAAGTTACTACATATCTTACAAGGTTATGTTTTTAAAGAATTCTCGTAATTGGCCACAAGCCTCAGAACAGGAAACACCAGAACTCTCACGATCTGTCCGCAATGTGTTATCACATAAACTCTCCCTAAAATCAGCTTCACAATTTTCTGGCCCAAGTTCTAGCCTTCAACAGAGAGAAGTGGCCATGCCAGTAAACCAAAAAACTTTCAAATCCAACCCCAAATAGAATTTCCCCTGGTGGATCCCACATGTGGAGAAAACAAAAGCAATCTTTTTGGTGCTTTCCTCAAAATCCCTGCAGGGCTATGCAAGGGTCTGCACTGAAGGTGTGGTTTTTAGGCTTCTGGAACTAGACTTTATGGGCTCTAATACCAGTTTAACATTTATTTGCTCTTCTCTTTGGCATAATTCCCTCCAGTAAAGCTATTACCTAATAGGTAGTTTTGAAGATTCAGTTACCAAGTATTTATATAATACTAGCACTCATATGGACTAAAGTCTAATCAATCTCTGAGACTTCTGTACCTTTAAATCATTACCTGCAGGTAGCGGGATCTAACTCTTAAGATGGATAGAGAACCTTAAGCAGCTTTCACTATTGTTTTCCTCTTCACATATATTGTGACATCCATGTCTCAGGACTAAAAGAAAAAGCATGTGAACCCCTTAAAAGCCATGTGCATGGATCTAAAAAATACCAACCCCTCCCCCCAAAGAAACACCTTTCTGTCCACCAAAACTGTAGTACAACCTTTAAGAAAAGCATAAAACATTAACTGTACGATTTGCTTCCTAAATTGTCCTCTTGACTATGGAAGCCCCAAGTAACCTGATGCCAATAGAATAGTCAGGTGATACAGGGAAAGAGCATGGGTCACATACAAAGGAAATTCACCTCACTGCTTTAAACATCTCACTGACTGCCTATTTTCTGACTAGCTAGAAATGTCAAAAGTACTGTTCAAATTTTTTAAGAATAAAGAACCTGAGCTAACCAAATGACTTCAGGTTCTCTACAAGAAATTGTGTTGAATGTAGATGGGAAGGGAGGAGTAAATAACACAACCTTCAGACAAATAGACAAAAGCAGTTTTATAATCTTTTATTATCAATAACTAACAGCTGCTTGTTAGTCTTTGCCAGGCAGCTGTTAAAGGGTGGGTGGGAGGACACCCGTGACCCTAACAAGGAAAACTCAAATTAAGCCTTTATGTACAAGCAAATTTAGAGCTCTTTTAAGTGTCCAAAGCTATTAATTAGTTTAATTGACACATTAAACTAATTTTGAATTAACATATTTGAATAACCAAGAACTAAAATGTTCAAATTTTTCTAGTACAAAAAAATTAAATTTGCTTTAGTTATAAAAGAGCTCTGTCAATATACACAAACTATATACTTCAGACATTCACAAAAATGTGAGCAGAAGGCTTATCAAAAGACATTTAATACAATTAGGTTTCAACAACCCTTGGTGGTCCACATCTACAAAGATATCCAGCCCAACCCAATCCAACCCCCCCTCCATAGCCCACCCCCACAAAAAAAGCACATACTTACCAGAATTTTTAGCAAGTATGATTTGGGTATTTGTGTTTTTGTTTTTTGTGTTTGTGTTTGTTTTTTTAAAAAAAGGCCCCCTGGGCAAGTTATTTACAGTTTAATTGCCACTGTCAACTGATCTGGACCGGGACCGAGACCTGGACCTGGACCTGGACTTCTGGCGATCCACAGATGCTGGAGACTTAGATCTACTTGAAGAACCACGTTTCTGGCTCTTCTCAGGTGCAGGAGACCTACTAACAGAACGGGACTTGCTCCGGCTTCGGCTCCGGCTCCTGCTCCTAGACCGGCTGTAAGACTTGCGACTCCGAGAACGAGAACGAGACCGAGACCGGCTACGAGACCTAGAGGAACTCCTAGTCCGGGAACGAGACCTGCTTCGTGACCTACTGGTAAGGGGAAAAAACAAAAAAAAAACAAAACATAAGCTGCAGGCCCTACAAATCCATTAAGTAAAACTTTGACTTAAACATGTTAGTGTCCTGGCCAGTGTGGCTGTTGGTTGGGCGTTGTGTCCCACGCATGCAATGAAAGGTTTGATTTCCAGTCAGGACACATTGCCTGGGTGATGAGCGTGTTCCCCAGTAGGGGGCGTACAAGAGACAACTGATAGGTGTTTTGCTCTCCCTCTCTTCTGTAAAAATCAAAATATTTTAAAAATATATTAAGGAGATACCTGTGCCTTTTGCTGCCTTCGATTAATTTTATTTTTCTCCCATTTATTTCCTTTCCAGAAAGTTTTTCAATAGCATTCTTTAAATCACCGTAAGAGGCGAACTCAACCACCCTAGCGAGGAAAAAGAAAAAAACATTTGTGAAGTTATGTATACCTTACAGTCTCACAAAGGAATCTAGATTAAGTACCTTTTCCATGCTCATTTTGCTATTACTGTATCAAGAGTTTTTAACTCTCGATGAATAACATGGCATTAGAGCAAGGTTTCTCAACCCCCTAATTGTTGACAATTTAGCCCAGACAAAGTTTGTTTTGGGGGCTTTCCTGTGCATTGTAGAATGTTTATATGCATCCCTGGCCTTTATCCACAAGATGCCAGACATTGCCAAAAGTCCCCTGAAGCAAACTCACCTGAGAACCAAGAGCATTCACAAATTTTAAGTACTGAGAACAACATTCACAATAAAACTGCCAAGGTATTTTAACAGGCTTACAATCTACAGTATATACTTACCCTTCATTTAATTTAGGTCGATGTGCATCCGCAAAGGT